ATAAAAACTGCTAAAATGCTACACAGGGTGGCAAGAATCACCAACAAATTGGCATAAAATTTGCAGATAAGCACGACTTTACAAAGCTGAAAACTAGTTTTTTTCACAAAGGCAAAGCCAGTGCTTTAAATAAATCTAGGCATTTCTTAAAGGAATAAAGTTTTTTACCCACTGATAGGAAGGCAAATTATTTTACTGGTTAAGGCATTAAATAAATCTTTGAATGGAACAAAGTCAAGGATAGGTATCTTTTTGCTTCATTCAAATAATAGCGGAAGTTGATCTAAATACTAAGAAGAAGTTTCTTGTCCATGCGCCTTAGTGATTTTATGTGGGTCAAAGCTTCCCACTGCGACCTCTCCGCATACTGGAGCCGCAACGCACAGAAAAGTAGCACCTCTAGAAGAGGGAGAAAGTGATGGAAGCCGATGCTGTATCGAGCCTACCAGTAGATTATGTTACTGCAACAGAGGAATGCACATATAGGTTGGGAATACAATTAGGCCATCTCCTCAATCTCCGCCTCTTGTACTTCCTTCTAATGGGATGGTCTTTCAACAAATCTTGCGAACCTGCAGCCCCGCTCTTTGTCGATGATGCGTTCATCCATTTTGCTGGTCCTATTCATGATGACCTTCTAGTCCATTAAAGATAGTACAACTGTAGCAACCATAAGAGATCTCAAAGAAAGTGAAGGAAGGACAATCTTGGACTTCTTGTTCGGATGTTTGGTCGGTCAGTGGGTAAATCTAAACCATAGGAATGGAAGATGTGAGGGTGATTGGACCTGTGAAGACGCGATGCAGGAGGGGTAGTCGGGCGTCTTCAATCGACAGCCACTTAACGCTGGATTGGAGATGGGTGGAGTGACCATGACGACGTGCGGAATTGAATCTTAAATAGAATGTGGGCATTTGAGACAAATATCACTTCACCCTATTGAAGTGTGAGTCAAGCGTACAGTAAGTGGGTGGGTGAGCAATTGATGGAGAGATTAGAGGCGGCTGTTTGAAAGCTGCCTTTGTCCAAAACTTGGCCTGAATACGGTAAAGCTGTTACTACTAATCGAAAAGGTAAGCTCCACCGAAAACATTCATTTTCGTCCATAGCAAGGAATTGGCGAACAAAGCCATGCTCATAAAAGCGCAGTGACTCAGCCATGGACTCCTGTCAGCTGTCAAAAGAAAAAGGTGTTAGTCTATCGTATTGTTAGCTTATTTATGCAGAAATGATAGCAAAAAATGCCCATATTTAACGAGCTGAGACTCCTGTTTTGGCCAGTTGCAATTTTTGGTCACTTCATTTCACCTCCTCTGATGCGATATTATTTGCAAATTGACAATCACTTCTCCGTCTTTGACGCCTTCCTTAGAGACACGCCTTCAGTAATGCCAGTGAATAAATGCAAATTCTGATGCACCGCGTCTTCTGTGTCCTCCTTGAAGGCAGCATGTGGCCATCTTACAAGATCGCAGAAGAGGTGATGAAGTGCTGATAGAAATGGCTTAAATAGGCACGCTGGTTGCAATCCACGGAGATGGATGGGCTTGTTTAATTGTGCATACTACTTTGACAAGTGTACAAATGTAGAACTGTCACCCCAAACATGAAAACTCATGTCCTGCGGCTACTGGTTTGTCGCAGTCTAATAGGCCGGACGTAAATTACCACTGGATCCTTTTTCCGACTTAGGATATGTTGAACATTTTTAATGCACAATTTTCATTCTCAACCCGACATGCCACCTTGCACTACAGACACCTTACTGGAATAACTTGCTCCCTCTCAGTCCAATCTGCTCGCCTACCTTTTAAAATTATTGCAAGTTGTTGGATCTGTACTGAAAATAAATGAATTTGTTCTCTTACTTCAAATCATAAATGCCACTACCATCCCATGGATCCACGTTTCACTTTCAAATCACTTTCTACCATTAAATTAAAGGGAATAGGAAATCCAAATAAGTTGAGAAACATTAATTAGTTAATTTACAGTACGACGCTTTATCATTCTTCATGCTAGACGATGCTACTAATTAAATGAAAGTAGCAAGACGCTGTCGCCTCGCCTACTAAATAAGAATTTCTACATTTTTCTTCAAACCGTATCTAGAAATTTATGGAATCATCATAAGTCCTGTGCATCCCTATCATTCATAACTCCTAGTAAATGACCCACGTCAGGAGCCTAGGTTGGCAGCATTAGCTCCTATCGGGACAGAGGTACTTTCGTTTCTCACAGTAGGAAATATTTTAAAGAGGATAATGACAACCATTTGTGCTCACAAAGGGGTACACCTTTCTCTTTTGATTGGTATACGTGAATGGCTGTAGGTGATATACACAGTCCTTTTCCAAATCCTGGCAACTAGTATAGAGGTCGCATCAACTTTCCACACAGCCCTCCTCCTCAAACTCATCCTCCTTAACTCACTCAGTCAATTGTTTATGAAAAATTGGGCATTTGTAAACAAGTGCTCCTCACCAAAAGTTAATGCATGGCTTGTTTACTTCAACCCTTATTTTGTACATGAATGCAAGTAAACGCCCCTTTTTATCAGCTTTTCGAAAAATACTCAACGTCAGGATAGACGGCGAATCTAAGTGGCTATATGTTAAAGCCACTTTTTTTTGATCATGCCCCTAGATGTCATGAATAAATCATACCGCTTTACTAGGCATGTTAAGTGCCCGTAATGCCACTTTTCTGACATTTGTTACTCTAACAGCCACTCTTAGACAGAGGCTGGACGTGTGCCTGTAAAGGATAAATATTTAGTCAGACTGACTTCGCAGATAATTTTTCCTTTCAATTGTTAACAAAAGTGGAATTGGCAGCGTACCATGACATTATGGTAAAACACCCATTTAGTAGTGAGTTACGGAAGGACTGTAGGCTACAATATGTACGGAACCCAACCTCGAGTTCGAAGACTTTGGATGTAGGTATGGTGAGCCATCAGCTGGGTAGCGACTGATCCACAGTGATTGGGAAATCCACTTCATTCAACAATTGTATTTCGGCACACATTGTTTAGCCCCAAAAAGATTGTTTTGCCACAAAGTCAGTAAGATGATGCTGGCGCTTGATTTGTGTCAATTCCTACAGCAAAACTCTTCGGTGAATTGACCGGTCGCTCGCTGTTAAGCTATTGTAGTATGTGTTACTAAGATCGTCAAGTTTAGCACATTTTGATGTGAATTGGTAACCATAGTATGTCGAAGATCTTTTAAGTTTGTTTTTTGTAATGTAGAGGATACCTTTTTAGAGTATCCACAGAGGTTACCCGTAATATTTTTAACTGATTTCCCTTTCCACCTCCCTTTTTGAGGTCAAGAGCATGGCTAGAGGAAAACGTCCAATGCATTGTGGTGGGGAGAAATTTTACAAGTTGTCAAAGTTTATGTAGGAGGACTAATGTTCTCTACAATCTCCTGCTCTTCGGGGATTAATGATATCCACATAGCTACAAGATTACTCATATTAGCTCACAGA